GATTTATTTTTGCAAACATTTATTATTGCAAACATTTATTACTGCACACATTTATTATTGCAAACATTTATTAGTGCAAACATTTATTACTGCACACATTTATTACTGCAAACATTTTTTATTGCTAACATTCATTAGTGCAAACATTTATTGTTGCAAACATTTATTACTGCAAAAAAATTTTTCTTGCAAATAGTCAAAATTACAGTTGTGCCAGATACCTCTTCAAAGCCTGACGCAACTCAGGCCAAGTCGTTCTATCCCTTGCCATTACATGGAGCTCTCCCCATGTCCTCCTCCATCTTTCTAACTTCATTCTCCAGCTTTCTTCTCCATTTGTTGTTGTTCTTTTTTTTTTTTTTTTTTTTTGGGCCTACCTCTCTTCCTACGCCCCTGTTAGTTCCAATGCAAAGACGTTTCTAGTTATGCTGTTCTCCTGTTTTCTCAGTGTGTTTCCTATCCAACGCCAGCCTCTTTTCCTCACCTCTTGTCCCACTGGAGCCTGTTTAGTTCTCTCCCAAAGTTCTACATTAGTTATTCTATCATATCATTTAATTCCATCTGTTCTGCGCAGGCACCAGTTAATGAATGTCTGTAATTTATTAGTAATTGCCTTAGTTGTTCTCCATGTTTCCAGACAGAAACTGTGAATGTAACTAAATCAGCCACTTGCGACCGAGTTCAGGGGGAATGGCAGGGGGAGCATCGATTGTTTCACAGAGGGTGGACATGTTCACAGGGCAGGATCGATAAATCTCTGCAGTTAGTGCACGTATGTGATGAAGTATGATGAAAATGCAATTTTGTCCCTAAGTGTTGAGCGTCGGCCAGATTTCAAACCACGTCTAGTTTGAGAATGGAAGTGGAGGAGGTCACTGTAAGATTCCGCTGGCTTGAGAACATGTACACACATGTCGTGGTTGTAACTGACTGATTAACAACACATAAAAACATTATGCCACACATTTCAACAAGATTAGAAAGTAGTGTGTCAAATTAAACATAAATATTTGAAGAATATACCAACAAATGATCAGAGCAAGTTATTATTCTACGCCTTAGAACACGACCAATCGATTCGCAGCCAAATGTACACAAAATTCAAAATCGGCAAATCAGCCATGTGCACATGAGACTGGCGCCTAAGACAACAGATCATGTCCTCCAAGACTGTCCCAAATACAACATATTAAGGCAAAACTTTTGGCCAAGAGAAACGCCGGTGCAAGTCAAACTTTACGGGTCGCTGAGTGAATTACAAAAGACAGTGAAGTTCATACTAGAGACAGCACTGGAGATTTAGATAATCTATTTCAAGCGAACGAACGAAGAAGAAGAAGAAGAAGAAGAAGAAGAAGAAGAAGAAGAAGAAGAAGAAGAAGAAGAAGAAGAAGAAGAAGAAGAAGAAGAAGAAGAAGAAGAAGAAGAAGAAGAAGAAGAAGAAGAAGAAGAAGAAGAAGAAGAAGAAGAAGAAGAAAAAAGTCAGATTATTGCGGCAAATGTCGCAGCTCAGCTGTAAACTGACATAATTTTAAAATAAATAAATAACCAATCAGCTTATACAAGAATTTGCATCTGTGCAGAACTTCCACGGGTTTGTGAGTTTTTGCCAGGTCAACATCTTCTTCTTCGTGTTCACCGACAGTAGGCTCCTGTGGAAACTTCTGGTTGTTCGTTCACTTCTGGGACTTGTCTTGTCCAGAACTCGAGTTTTGCGTGCACATCCGGTTTACAGATCTGGCTTATTTGAATGCTTAATGTTGTTTCCTCATCTTTAAAACAAATGCACAATGACTTTGGAGGAAACGCCCCTAATTAATCCACAGTTACGTCATGCTTGTTAGGAGGTAGTGAGTCTATCCCCTCCCCCCTACCCTTTTCCCCTGCAAAGACAATATAGCATTATAAACGTTCTTCAAGATCTTCCTCGCTGCTAAATTGTGTAGTTTATTTTGTGAGATTTCCTCATTGTATCCCACCAGGACATCCCACAAGCAATAAACACCCGGTGACACAAAGTGACACCATGCGGATGAGGATCACCCTTCGAGAGGCCCCAGAAACCGCGTTCAACCATTAGGCCATACTTATGGTCGGCTTATATTATGGCTCCTGGCAAGAGCCGGTGTAGGGCTTCAAAATAACGAAAAATTGCATCTAACAAGGGGATGACTAAAGTTTTTAATTTAACTTCCTTGACGCTTCACAACATTGTATAAACTCACACAGGTTTCCGCAAAACACAAGTTTGTTTACAACTACAGCTAGTTACTGAAAACTGTTAAACTACAAAATAATCGTAGTCATTCGAAACGTCGTTTAAAATCCAGACAGTTTAATGTCATTTCACTGACGGTTGGGCAGTTGTTATAGATGCCATTTAAAATCCAGAGTTAGAGATGATGGTGCATCCTTTGACGACATTCCTTGGTTGTGATCTTCCCTTTCTCACCCTCTTCCATGCATAGTCGTACCTTCTGACACATTTCAATGGCGATTCGAGAACGGACTGTTTTGTCACCAGCCAAAACCTCACATAAATACGACACCCAGTTTTCAGTGCGTAATCCACTTGAGATCTGGCTGCACCCAGAAGTCGACGCTCCCAATTGTTCGTGTTTAAACAGAGGGAAGAGAAAGCGCTCAACACAACATACCGCTTCTTGTGCGCACTACCACCTTGGACAGCCACTTCGAAAAGAGCAAGTCGTTTGCTTGCTTTAACGGAAGAAGATTTGGATGACGATAACATCTGGAGTCTATACCCTGGTCGACCGACCCGTTTCTCCCACTTGTCCATGTTGTCTTTGGGAAAATGGTCGTCGCTGACCATCGCTAGTTTCCAGGAGCTCCAGCTGAGTGACCGCAAGCTGAAGTTGTTCTCGGGAACGTTCTCTCTCTTTAGGAGAGGAAGATTGCTGGCTTTAAATTTATTCAAAGAAGCCTTTGCTTTTGCAGAAATACTTCTTTGACGGGTGGTTGCTGTGGATCTTTTCACGGACAATTTAGTGGCTGGATTTACTGACAGCGGTGCTGTTGTCACGGGGTTTACAAACAGGGGTAGTGTAAACCCTGGATTTACTGAGAGTGGTAAAGTATATATTGATTTTACTGTCAGTGGAGCAGAACTGTCCACGTTGTCGTCTCTAAGACTGGCAAAGATGGCGTCGATGTCTGCAGCAAGAGCACCTCCCACACGCCGTGCTCTGACCTCCTTCTCGTAGTTGGCCAGCATGGCCGTGTCTTGACCTTCTCGATAACAGACGGCCATCAGAGTATCAAACAAACTGCCCAGGTCTTCTAGCCGGAGATGTCTACCTCCAGTGGCAAGTGAAATGGCTTGGTAGAACTTATCAGCATAGGTGTTACGTCCACACTGAACTCCATAAATGGTGACACCTTCCTGTGCCAAAGCCTTGACTTCCATTCTCCAGTCTATCTTGTCCTTGTTGAGAATTTCTCCTGGTTCGTGCGGATTGTCATCGCCGATCAGCACGAGGACACGACGAGAGCCAGGAGTCCACGAGAGCTCAGTGCGAACTTGTCTCAGAACCAACTCGTAACATTCTGGACTGTCACCTCCACCTGTTTGTTCAGCGTTTTTCACAAACTCACACAACTCAACAATGTTATTGCTCAAGTCTGTCCATTTTGTAACATAAATGTGTGCATCACAATAATCCCCATGGGCGAAAACGGCCATTTTAATGCCAGGAATGTCTGCCTGAAGCCGTTGTATGAGATCTTGAATCCGACCACGTAGTTCGTCCAGCCATCTACACATAGAACCAGTGGTGTCGAATGAGAAGACTACCTCAAGAGGTCCATTTCTTGGCAGAAACACAGAATCCGTATCCATACTTCGGTGTTATGTATAATCTAAGTAGGCGATATTTTAACGAAATTTTTGAATATATGCTGCAATTATTTATCTTGTATAATGTAGTACTTCTTTCTAAACTGTTGTGTATGACTGCAGTTCTGATTTTAGAAAATCTTGTGGTCTTTTTATTTATATATACAGATTACGTCCGCGAAGCAAGTTATGCTCCGCGAAGAAACTACATGATCTATTTACTGCAGGACTTCGCGGAAACTATGAATGCTATCTCAGATGACCTAAAAGTGTAAGTATGTGTGCACACACACACACACACACACACACAAATTACGGATTATCAAAATGAGAAAACAAATTGAAACCCAGAATGTAAAGAGGGGTCGAAGCATTATCCAACAATTGCATCCAAACGAGGGGCACCGCCACAAAGAAATAATTAGGAACCTTTTCCTCTTCATAATTGTATACTTTTCTAGGAGCGACTGTTCAGGGGCTGTTAGTATTGTTTTTATAGCTATTAATATGCGCTAAAAATCAAATAAATGAATGAATATGAAATGTATCAACACATACTTGGGTAGCAGCCGTCTATATATTCTTATGGGCCATTTTGTCCCCTTGCAATTTTTACAAGGTGTGGGGTGAAGTTTGGAAGAGGGGGGTGGGGGGAGGTCCTCGCTGCCGTCAAAATTATTGGGAACGAATACACATTGGGGGGAGATGGGGTGCTCAGTGTATCTGGAGGGTGTCTTAGCCCCCCGCTTTCGGCGCTCTTGGGCGAAACGGTCGTTATGAAAAGACTTGTTTGCAACGATTAAATTATAGTGCCTTTGTAACTGAAAACATCTAACTATTTCCTTCTGTTTTAACTGGTGAATAATTAAGTATATGTCCTTGTTAGGTAAGGCGTCGCGGGCACATTTAGCCCCCCCCCCCTCCCCCACCAATGAACGCCCTAAAGCTTTCATAATCGTCGCTTTATTTATCTCAGTCTCTATAACCGCCGTGGTGTAGCGGCTAGACGCTCGCCTGTGAATCGGAAAGTTGTGTTTTCGGATCATGAGGAGCCAGACTTCTTTCAAAAATGACCTTGGCCCCCAGGTTGACCTAGCCTTGAGTGGGTACCAGATATAGTCCCTGGAAGCAAAGACCGCGTCACCCACCAAGTGTCAACTGGCTTATAAAATATAACTCTAGTCCTCTATGCTTAATACGCCTGCAGGCGTGCAAAGGGGTCCTTTACTTCTATGTGTATATCCTTCTCTAAGCCTTGTCTTTGCGCGTAACAATACTTGAAATGATGGGGATTCCCATGATGCATCTTGTTCTCTAGCAACTGGAGAGCTACAGTTACCGCCTCCACCTCCATTCTCCTGCTAGATGGTGTGGTCTTGTAAGCTAGACTGTTTTGCACTAAAAATTTTCCATTGGCATTCGCTAAGAAACCCCAGGCATTTCTCTTTCCTCTCAACACTGATCCATCTGTATCAGATCACCTGGGCCTGAATTATCGAGAGCACTTAACAAGAGAACTTTTACACTGTACTCACTAGAGAACAAGATACATACACATGTCGTAATTGTAACAGACTCTGAAAACATGTTGGAAATGGTGAAGATAGGGATGCTTCGAGCAGAATGGCAAGCTTCACTGGAAAGATCATGGGTAGTGAGCATACTTTGGATCTTTTCTCCAGGCTATGCCAGCGTGGTGGGTAAGGAACAGGCAGCCAGATTGGCTGGATGCGCACCACTGGGTGATGAATTGATAAATGACAAGGCAGATGTGGTCAAGGCTCTTTGGGAACAAGCAACGGAATCAGTAGAGATAGAAGATTATTATGGCCTGGAGAGAATGAGGCACCTGGGTGTAACCAGAGGGTCTGGCCAGCTGTCTACACTCAGAGGAAAGGCAAGACGGACATTTAACCAGATTGTGACCGGTATCATCAGTATTGAAACTCTGCGCTGGCTGCTGAAGATGAGGACAGAGCATACATGGGAACGCCCCGAGTGCTGTGATGTCAATTCTTGACTCAATTCAACTCTGTACATGGCTGTGGTGGTCGCTTAACCCCTTGAAAAATTTTCGGGTTTATTCTGTGTATGTGTGTGTGCATGTGTGTGTGTGGGCTGGGGGCGCCCCTTAATGGTTTCGGGGCCCTTCTTCTTCTCAGACCTGTCGTCCAGCAACCGGGGATGGGGGGGGGGAGGTGAAGACAGGTCAAATAAGACCCCCCTCCCACCCCTCCCCTAATAATTTCAAGAGGTGGGCTAGGCATCTCTGACCCACCCCATCTATGAACCACCCCATCTCTGACCCACCCTATCTCTGACCCACCCCATCTCTGACACACCCCATCTCTGGCCAACCACATCTCTGACCCACCCCATCTCTGACCCACCCCATGTCAGACTCCCTCTTATCTCTAACCCACCCCATCTCTAACCCACCCCATCTCAGACTCCCTCTTATCTCTAACCCACCCCAACTCTAACCCACCCTATCTCAGACTCACTCTTATTTCTAACCCACCCCATCTCTAACCCACCCCATCTCTAACCCACCCCATCTCTAACCCACCCCATCTCTAACCCACCCCATCTCAGACTCCCTCTTATCTCTAACCTACCCCATCTCTAACACCTCTAGAAAATGAACAGTAGGACTAATGACCAACACTGTGCCTATCATTATTGTTATTATTAATAATATTATTATTCACTTCAGCAAGACGTAAGCACTTTGAGCGACCCCCTCCTATAAAATTGATAACCCCATTAGTAACACCCCACCCCTGTTTGTTTCTTCCCAAAATGTTTTCTTGGTTTAGTCGTGCCTGGCTACGATTGTTTAAGGTGAGGTTGCTCCAGATATGGATCTGTCCCTGACTGCAAGCAGATAACAATATTTCATCTCCTTTCTGCGATTGTACGAACAAGATACGACAAACCCAGTAGGATTTTTTTTTTAAACCCAGCTAAGCTGAACAAAAACCCAAGCAATACATAGGCACACACACACACACATGCGCGCGCACACACACACACACAAACCAGACTGTTTAAAAGTACAAATTTTGTAGTTACGAAACAAAACATTTACCAACTTTTATATAAGGATATTTTTATTTAACCCAGATTTTAAAATGTGAACCCAAGGCGTCAAATAAAAACCCGATCTTGGGGTAAAAACCTATTATTGGCAGCCCTAGATCACAAACCACGTCCGACTTTAACATTTACAACTGGAGCCGGTCGTGCGACAAACTTGCGGTTTGATCAGTTCTTACCTTGACGAAACCGAATATGATACGGTAGTGTTGGGGGAGGAGCCATAATCATTAAATCCACGAAGCAACTTTGATTTTAACAACATAACTGAGCGGGTGGCGTAATAATACTTCACTATCGCACTTCGCGGAATATTAAAAATAAAATATATAGGGTTACAGGCAAAGATTCGCCAAGTTACTTAAGCTGACAACAACAGTGGTACAAGAAGAAATATTAAACTGTACATAACAAAGTTATTACATCTAGCTTGTGATTACAAAACTAAACAAACTAATTGAACAATCCACTTTACATTAAGATACGAAAAGCAACTAAATTATGCCTGTAGCTAGCAGTTTTCCTCTACCTTCTGGTAGCCTTGAGGTAGTCTTCTCATTCGACACCACGGGTTCTATGTGTAGCTGGCTGGATGAACTACGTGGTCGGATTCAAGATCTCATACAACGGCTTCAGGCAGACATTCCTGGCATTAAAATGGCCGTTTTCGCCCATGGGGATTATTGTGATGCACACATTTATGTTACAAAATGGACAGACTTGAGCAATAACATTGTTGAGTTGTGTGAGTTTGTGAAAAACGCTGAACAAACAGGTGGAGGTGACAGTCCAGAATGTTACGAGTTGGTTCTGAGACAAGTTCGCACTGAGCTCTCGTGGACTCCTGGCTCTCGTCGTGTCCTCGTGCTGATCGGCGATGACAATCCGCACGAACCAGGATATATTCTCAACAAGGACAAGATAGACTGGAGAGTGGAAGTCAAGGCTTTGGCACAGGAAGGCGTCACCATTTATGGAGTTCAGTGTGGACGTAACACCTATGCTGATAAGTTCTACCAAGCCATTTCACTTGCCACTGGAGGTAAACATCTCCGGCTAGAAGACCTGGGCAGTTTGTTTGATACTCTGATGGCCGTATGTTATCGAGAAAGTCAAGACACGGCCATGCTGGCCAACTACGAGAAGGAGGTCAGAGCACGGCGTGTGGGAGGTGCTCTTGCTGCAGACATCTACGCCATCTTTGCCAGTCTTAGAGACGACAGCGTGGACAGTTCTGCTCCACTGCCAGTAAAACCAATATATACTTTACCACTCTCAGTAAAACCAGGGTTTACACCACCCCTGTCTGTAAACCCTGTGACAACAGCACCTCTGTCAGTAAACCCAGCCACTAAATTGTCAGTGAAAAGATCCACAGCAACCACCCGTCAAGGAAGTATTTCTGCAAAGGCAAAAGCCTGTTTGAACAAATTTAAAGCCAGCAATCTTCCTCGCCTAAAGAGAGAGAACGTTCCTGAGAACAACTTCAGCTTGCGGTCACTCAGCTGGAGCCCCTGGAAACTGACAATGGTCAGCGACGACTATCTTCCCAAAGTCAACACAGACAAGTGGGAGAAACGGATCGGTCGACCAGGGTATAGACTCCAGATGTTATCGTCATCCAAATTTTCCGTTAAAGGAAGCAAACGACTTGCTCTTTTCGAAGTAGCTGTCCAAGGCAGTGGTGCGCACAAGAAGCGGTATGTTGTGTTCAGCGCTTTCTCCTCCCTTTCTTTAGACACGAACAGTTGGGAACGTCATCTTCTCCGTGCAGCGAGGTCCCAAGTGGATTTCGTTCTGAAAGCTGGTGGTTGTGTTTACGTGAGGTTTTGGTGTGAAAATAAGCAGCCTCTTTCCGAATCGCTAAGGAAATACATCAGGAGGTATGACTACGCGTGGAAGAC